ATTGCGAGTGCAGTAGTGACGAGAACTGACTGAGCATTGTGGGGGACAGGTCAGAGGTGACGTCATGTAGATGTCCAATGATAACCCACATAGCTGGGAGGGCGTCCTAGTGGCGACCCACTCCTAGATATAGGGATCTACCGTTAGATATCCATGGGATAAACAATACTTCGTGATAAATAACGCATTCCATTCCATCGGAAATTATGCGTGGGCCACTCTTCCCCATATTTAACAAATATTTGTTTTAAAAGAGTGCGCTCTAATTCGGAAAGTAATTGTAATTTTGGACAGCTTAAAAACAAGGTATATTTGTGGTAGGTTACACAAAATAAACAAAATGTATTATAATGCATTGTGGGGGTTAAAATGAGGAGTGGTAGGACTATATTTGTGTGCTTCATTTGTTATGAATCGATTGTGAAAACTTGAAAGATGAAAACATTTGAGTTTTGTCAAAAGTTTATTAAACGTAGATAGTTTCAACACTTAATCATCATATGGTTTTATATATTCTAAGTTATTGAATGTACCATTCCTTTTGAAGAAAATGCGTAGATTACAGCATTCACACAATACTGTATATTAATGTGTTTATACTCTCCAGCAGAAGTGAGTGAACATTGTTTCAGAAGAAGTTTTGCTAATAGTCTACTAAAATTACCTCAACATTTACATTCAGGATATCAACAACCAAACACCCCTTTTTCAAGAAACCAGGATCATTCTCTATGCTGCACGTCTTAGAAAAAAAGAACACTCGAAGATTGTTACTCCAACAATGGAACAAACCATTACATAAGAGTCAATCAAAGATGTCGCACATGTGACACAGAGCACAGACGACAAATGTGATCCAGAGAAAGTAGTGCGGCGCCGACGAGGCCTTTGATTGGTCCTTTACACCATTGTTGCCACCGTAAACGCTATTGTGAGCCGGTTTGGAGCGAGGAATCAATTCCGCCTGGCAAGTGTGGTTTATGAAATTTTAAACAGGTTACGTAAAGCCAATGGGTTATGCCACGGTCAACGGTTAGGAAACAGGTGAACTGCGTATGATCAGAAAACTCTGGTGATGATCAATTAGAAATACGTGGCCAGTGTCATGACTAAGTGAACAGTCGTTGTTCGAAAGCCAGTTTTAAATCTTCTATGTATATATTAATTACGTAAGCCGATTCTTTGTGGCAAAATTGTGGGCGACTGGGAAGTCGTAGAATGATGGGAGAGGACTCAAATTAAAGGTCTCGACCCCGTGACGGCGGGAAAAATAGTGAAATTCCCATAAAGTTACCAGAAAACGAGATATAACGTAAAATGTTCTCCATAAGAATAGCATTAGAAGCCATTTACTGCTGATTTGTGTTTACTACAATACAGCTGATCGTGATTTATCATTAAGAAACTAAGCAATATTACATTTGGATTACTCATTTGCCAGTCAATTCTGCAATGTAATGTATACTATATAAAACCAACTATATAAAAGGGATAACGTTACCCATAATAATCAAGACTTTTTAGTTATGTCAAAGTTGAAATAAATTGTTTTCAAGATTAATGAAACAATTCCAGATTAAATTAAGATCTTCTTTCTGTTTTGATTTCAAAACATATGTTAAAGTTGTATTCCACAGAAATATTTTATAAATTTACTAACAGTTATATTTGAGATTAATTGTAGTGTTTAATCAATATTTTGTATGAAGTGGAATAACCTCAACGTTTACTCTTAGAAAACAATTTGGGAATAAAGATGAAGTAGTTTCGTACAGGTATTTGTTCATTAAGTACTTAAGTGCTTTGTTGCTCCAAGCAAAAAAGGTTCAAATATTATAGCCTAGTATGCACGGTAGTAAAGGGAGAACCTATATATAACAGTAGAACATAGAGGTAATTTCCATTTCTTAAAACTAACCAAAAATATTCATGTCGTGATTGTTTCCAGTCGCAAAATAGTTAGTAGGCCTAATTAGACGTTGATTAGGCCCTTTTTTGGTAGAATATGTAAATCAATCGCACCTTTAGGAGGATTACCACCGCATATACTTACACTAGGCTAATAGTTTTTTTTTATGTTAATCAGAAACAAATTTGGGGTTAAGTTCTGCAAATGGGATGCCTTTACTTAAGACTAATTTTGTTAAACCTTTACAAAATGAGCATAGACTTAGGAATAATAACAGGGTAGGGTAGGAATGCTAATTAAGCGGTTTTGACCAAGAACTAAGTTTATTTCAACACACCATTTTTTGCCTTTTCCTATTTAAAGAAGACAATGTCCAATACTGTATTTCAATCGGGGAAGCCTTTTTATCAATATTAACCAAAAAACCAAAGCTACCTTAATAAACTAATATTTATTCATAAACATGTTTGCTGCCTTTAGCAGTTAAACCTCTGGAATCATTCAAATTCTTTATTGAAAATAACATCAACAAAAGCAAACAAAGACAAACAATTTTTTTTTTACACAAAAGATATGTTGTACTGGGATATCTATCCTGACACATAGATAATTTGATTCTGAGTTCGTTTAAATATTACAATAATTTCTTTTCCATTTGAGCTTTTTAGGGACTTATGTCCCTACAAGCCAAGCCACTAGTTTATAATAATCGTCAATTAAGTAGTTTTTGATAATTTTGTTTTGTGAAGTAATTAGATTATTTCCTCTCATTAAACAGAATGTGCTAAATGAACAAAAAGGTATAAAGAACACTTTTCTGATACTTTCTTGGTTTGCCGTTCATGTCCTTTTAGAAATGTCCATAACTATACTTAATAAAATAAGGATATTTTTTTAATGATAGCTTAAGTTTTTACTACTCCTTGTCTGGCTTGTGTGTAGCAAAATAGATACTCCAACAATAAAATAATCAACCAAAAAAGACCTCACTCAATGATTTCCATTGAAATTTTGAGTTACTCCTTCGTATTTTGTCTTTACTCTTATACTAAAATAGTACAGTACAGGTTTTGGAGACTTGTTGGTAGGATAGTAGAGTGTTTATCTGTGTATTTATTCTAAACTAGTAAAATAAGTCTTTAGTAGAATAATAAGTGAGCTTGGTTAGAAATATCATCATGCTTGTGTGAAATTACTTCATTAATTAACCCAGAAAATATTGAGTACTGAACCAATTTCAAAGGGAAAATCAACCAAGCTTAAATAAATTACTGGTTCATATACTAGAGCACTTATAAAAACATGACAAGACGTATGACATGTACTCAGCGCGTTGAAGTTGAACCCCCAACAGGCACGGTATTAATAACCACTTTTTATCATATCCACTTCTGGCCAAGTCTTCCGCAAACCAGGCTCTCTCCAATGCAATTACATTCTTAATCAATATCCGTCATTAATGTCGCCGACTTCTTCAATCACCAGTTTAGAGAAAGCTTACAAATTTTTAATGCCGCAGTGATTTCGAGTTAAAAGTTTTAAAAGTAATTATTCGCGAGGTAATTTCTTGTAAGTAGTCGTGTGGAGAGTTGTTCAGTGACCAGCGGGTAAATGTCCATCATTTGTGGGGTTGGGTGATGACCTTGACCTGGGGCGGTGCTTAGTGACCTCTAGTGGCTAAATACTAGGCTGGTGACCCGGAGAGTACATCCATGAGTGGGAAATATTGGTAATATTTCTTTTTGGAATATTTGAAATTTGTTATGTGCATTAAGATTTAAGATTAAGGTCTCAAAAATGTTTTCACATTTTAGCGTAATTAATTGAGAATGTCTTACGTGAATAGCTTAGGTTGCATCTGGTTTTATGACGTCAACACAACAGGAACCATTCTTGGTTCCTTTGGACAGGGTTATATTATTAAAAAGCCCTTTAATCCAATGTAGCTAAGTCGAGTTTGGAACCATTAAAAAACCTTCTTACTTTTCTCAGGATCGAAACTGCGGTCTATTCAAATGCTAAGGGAGAATAATTATATCCGATAAGTTTTACAGCTTCATAAATAGATTGCCAATTGCAAATTAATTTTCGGTACGTGATTTATCATAATCATGATCATCTAGTACTCTTTGCAGTTGCGGATTAATGTTTGATTGCCATTCATGATGTTGTGAAAAAAATTCTCGTTGTTATGGTTTGTAAGCACGTTTGCAATATTTGCATGATGAAATAATCTAACGGGCTTTAGCTCTCAGGATGTATAAAATATAAAAGACCAAGTTTACATGGCTGGATTAAAACAAACTGAAAGAACAATGATTGATGTAGTAGATTTGATGTAGCAGAATGTAAACACATAAGAGTGTCCTATAAACATTAATATAATATACTTTGTATCTTCAGTAATTTGTAAGTATAATATTTCGGGATCACACAATGTTTAAGAAATATAATGCAAATGTTAAAATTTTGTTAAAAATATTTGTCATATTTAAAACGTATGAATTAAATAAATACATTATTTTACCCACTATAATCTTCAAACTATTGCAGTTTTGGCTACGTGCTACACTTTAATCCAAACTAAAATTACTGTAAAACATTAAGCCGATAAACCTTTATTAAACATACAGCTGCCCAAACTTCTAAGTTGAACTGGGATGGAGCAAGATCAAAACCATATAGCCGGGCGTTTGAGTCGAAATCCAATTTGGCCATGTGTTTCAGCTGTAATGTAATTGAAGAATCTAATTATAGGATTCGGCAGCTAATGATTCTATAGCAGGTTTGCTGAGGGAGGGGCCAACAGCTAATTATCTCATAAAGCTCATTATGTTAATAGTTTCTATCTCGTGCTGTCCAGATCGGTTCGTGGCTAATGGCTTATTAGGACTTGATCTTAATTCTTCGCTCCTTAAAACGTGCCTCTTTTTATAGCGTTATTTCCTTAACTGTTTAAATGTGGGTCGAGACAAATTAAACCTACATCAACGTTAGTGTAAATTACTAGCTTTCTACAGGACGCGGGTTTAATTTACTACATAGCTGTATTGTTTCTTGACGAAATTAAATTTTATTTGAGGTTACTTACGGTGTATGACAAGTTATATTTATATTGTCTAAGCCTGCGTCCCTGCAAATTTAAAGGAGGTATTAGGGAATTAATCATTTTAGAAAGTTGATTTCCACAAACGTACCTTTGTTTTAATAACATAACACAATAATAGGAATTAATTATATTAATCTTACATGTGATACTGGGAGAAGTCAAATGGCATAGAGGAAGTTTTTGGGCATTTTTAGATAGCAAAGAACATTTTTAGATCCAGTTCTTGGCTACGCGTGTAAAAATATGGACATTGATCCTCAAAGATAAGGAATTGCTAATAGAAAGATGAACATCTATACTATTACACAACCCTTTCTATTCTTTATGTTTACGTATCTAAATAAAGATTTAGGTTACTAAACGTTAGTCTATGTCAGCCTATAATGATTAGCAAGCAAAATTGAAGCAAGTTTGTTACTAAAACACTCTTTTCTAAGTACACATTTTAAACCCCAAACACTGTCAAATCAATCATATATCTAAATGATTTATTTTTAATTTGATAACAGCTTGAGCATTGTGGATACTCATTATATTTAAGCAAAAACCTCGAATCAGAAACAAAGAAATGCGTAGAAATTTCTCACAACTTTATTCATTGAATATCTTGCCTAGTAAAACCTCTTGTGAACGCAAAAAGAAATCTCGTACAGTTTTAACAACCGGGAAGAATTTCGGCACAGCCTGAGGGAGCCATTAACCATTAGACATATCGGAGGCTTTACGTAATTGTCGGTTTATGTCCATCTGGACCCATTAGTAAAGCCCCGAACGTTGGGGCTACTGGGCTACGCACGCGGTTCGTCAACGCCCAGGGCTACGCCCCATTGGCTCTCATTCAACCTGGAATAGTAATGTTAAATTTCCACACCTTTGGCGACCCAGCTCAAATTAGATTTTGGCTTTTGAAATTCAAATTTTCAAAGTAGTTTTCACGCCGAAGGATACGTGTGTAAATTTGTGGGAGTTGGTGTAAATTAGGGAATTAGCATGAATATTTAATGCATGTTCTACATGATCCTAAAACTAGTCTCTAGGACTTGTTTAAAACGTATGTCTGTTGGAATTTGGGCTATGTAGAACATTTGTTTCTATTACGTACCGTACTATAGGCGTCAAATTGTAACAATAAGCTTATAACAGTTAATAGGGAAGTTTTAGAAAGGACGTATTTATAAGCGGTTTCTCTCTGTGCAACGAATTAACTGACCTTAGGCCTACTTGTTGTTATTAGTTCAATGTGTTTTCGTGTTCAACATTAGGTATATTGTACATTTCAGACTACAATTACAATTATTAAAATTTTTATTGTTGCGTTGTTTGCTAAATCGTGGCCAATTCTTTCTCTCATAATATGTGTCCAGAAAACATTTTATCACCAATTTCATCCTTAAACCAAAATAATTAGTGATAGAAGTTTCCTCTTAATCTTCCTGTAAATCACTCTTTGGTCATAATCTTTATTCAACCCTACAAATTCTGTGACCCTTAAACACTTCCTCAATAACTTTGAATTGGCTTGGCGCCGGCCTGTGGGAGGTGGTCTACGGAATGCCCTGCCATATTTGTCCGGTTCAATTTATATTTGAGCCAATTTGTCGGTTGTAATTAGGCTGAGCCTAACGAGTGCAAGACAATGGGCGATTCCCGCGCTCCAAATCTCGGCACATAATGACGCGCGACCTGAGCCCGTTGATTGGGCCTCACGTGTGCATAAGCAAACATATAGTCCCGCCAGGCCGCAGGAAGCACGTGGTGACAGCTAGCAAGTCGTCGATTAGAAGAATTTATAATTCCTATCCAAACAAGTTCTTCTCTTTAAAAATACTGTGGACAGATAATATGAATTCCTTCAGGTCTCCAATACGGTAATCGGGCGTACTTGAATTTCGCATTACAGCCTAGGCTATTCAAACTGCGCACTTGATGGATATGCTGCTACTTGGACATGCCGAAACTGCACACTTATACCCTTCCAAAATATCTCACGGGTGGTCAAATATATCATGAAAAAAAATTTCATCAAGGCTTTCTAATTTGTATATAGTTGGTGTACTCTGTAACTAACGCACAAGTCTAGGTTGACAAATCTATGTTTTATGTCCAGTTGCTTGAATTTTCCAAATAGGAAATGCGTGACATAAAAAGCTTACTTTGTTTGAATCGCGAGCACTCTGGAGATATAGAACTGAACGCTGGTACACCTAAGAATGTCCACGACCAGTGATAGTGGTGTCTCACGCATGAGCATGACATAAACGTGTAGCCTAGCAGTGCATGTAGCTGCCCGGCGGCTATATGATATACGTGGGACAGACGCTTTCTATACCGCTGTATGACCAGGTCCAACATCGAGAGTACTGTGCTGGAGACTACAACGGTGGGTGAGACTGAAGCGCTAGATGCTACAATACCCGGAAGTATTGGTGACCCATTAACTGATATGCTGGATACGAAAGTGTATAGTCCATAACACACTGTAATATATGAGTATACTTTAGTAGTTATGTAACTTTTTCTAGAGTTAATGTCTATTAGTTTGTTTATGGCTTTCCATAAATACGAGTCTTGCTTGACCTACAAAATTTTGTGTGAAGTGAATTAGTATAAGAAAAAAACTTTGGAGTAGCTTAAACATATTTTTGTAGATGTATTTCCATTGAGAAAGTAACCATATGTACAGTATTCATTGCTTATTTTGTTTTTATTAGCTGCTATATTTTTTATCATACGAGTTAGTAATTTCAAGTTTAACCCTTATTTTTCTCGCATTTTTATAAAAACAATAAACAAATATTGAAAGCTGAAGCTTTGCCTTTAAAAATTTCAAAATCAATTAATAAAAATTGTTCAGTATTGAGATTGTTTTAAATACAATTCACATTTTCTATTGACACCCTTTTGACCCTTTTTTATAGAAAATCAATCTAAATAAAAACAATATCTAAAGATTTTATCGGTTATACTCCAATGCTAGGCAAAATATTGTTTACAACCACCCATGCGCATATCTGATGATAGTGATCCATCGAAATAAGCAATATTTAAGTCATAATACTATTTTACGGAAAGTTGTAGCCAAAATTTCCCCACATTAGCTCAACCATGTTCCAAACCTAGGTAGTCAAAGGTCAAAAACACACCTAGGATTCCAACGGTGCTGGACGAGCACTTATCTCAAATTGAGGAAAGAGTCTTCGATATCCCCAGAGTCTGCCATTGTTGCAGATGTTACCAGTTTTAATATTATGCAAGCGGTGCAGATCGTAGTTGCGTCATCTGCAAACGTCCATCTCTTGGCATAGGCTGTCCTCTATATCACTACATCTTTGTCAGTAGCCCAAGCCGTGCTCCGCCACTTGAAGCCGCCGTGAGATATGTTGCGAAAGTGCTACACATCAGTCAAACTGTTAATGAAACCTCCAGATGTTTTCAGACTTGGTCTGGCATGTCTTATGTGGCAAGATCAAGTTCTCGTAGTATTGATTGAATTTCACAGAAGGGAACTAAGGTCTTTCGTCGGAAATGTATGTGTATTGGTGTAAAAACGTACTAAGCATCCTAATAAGTACTCAAAATGTGATGTTCTGAATTAGTATTTAAAAGGATGTATCCAGCATTTGGAATGGATTAAATTGTAGGACTACACATTTGGTGTCACCGTCGTAAAAGCCATCCTTAGACCATGTTTGCAATGGACTTAATCCTACTACGGTACTGCTGCAGTTCTGTATAGTCAGAGAATTATCATTACTTTTGAGACATGAACGTCACCTACGTGAGTAGTTTTAGCTGAATATAAACAAAACGGTGGGGTATAATGTAGAATGCAGTGGATGCTCTGTGCTGCTTTACGAAATGACATCAGCTGTTTCAAAAGCCAGGGCCATTAATTAAAAGCCCTGAAGCTGATACTTACACCATCGTAAGGTTGCTGATTCTCTTATAATCGAACCGATGACCTTTGGACTGTTTGGCGAACCTGAACAAGAAGGAGAAAAAGTTTTGTTGGGGCAAATAATGAAAACATTCAGAATTCAAGGTACATCTAAATAAATCCCGTATATCACGTTTACAAACTTTAATCTTACATGATTATAGTCCTCCAAAACATTGCAACCAACTTCAATGAATTCAAAGGAAGCAAACACACCATTGCAACCGATGCTGGAACATCCCGGCAATAACCACACATTTCCCAGCTCGTCCTCCGACCCTGGTGGCGACTCGGTCGTACCTTGGTATTAGAGTAAACATTTAATTCGCCACGCGTCCATCCCGCCGCGCGTTTATGCTAACCACCGTCCACAGTCCGCTAGAAGAGCCTCAGGTCCAGCTAGGCAGTTCTAGGACTTTCTCCGGCACTCCAGGGCATGACTGAGGACAATGGTATTCAGGGTTCGGTCCAAAACCATATGGTTATGGTTATAAGCTTTAGTTGGTTGTATTAATGTATGAACTAGGGCTAGAAGTTTTTTAGTAGAATATTTGTCTGGCGGTTATAGTGATCCCCTTAGGATCTGAATACAACGGAATTAGTTCTCTCAGGATTTGATTTGTTTCCGCACGTAAAAAATACGTAGAAATATTAATAATAATTAATAATAAATAAGTGGGAGTTAGGAGTGTTTACGAAGTTTCTCCAGTAATTACTAAACTCACTTCACTACAGAGGCGTTTATAGACTAGTATACTTACTACAATAATGTTTACGGATTAATTCAAGAAATCTACGGACTCAATACAGAAATTTATGCAATCTAGTGTTTACGGTTTTACTCCAATATTTTATACAAATTGATTCCAGAGGTGCTTCCAGACTTACTATATTTAGAGTGTTTTTAACTGATAACGTTTTATGGAATAACTCCAATATTTTACACAGATTCATTTTGGTGTAAACAATGGTTAAAGTATTTAAAATAATCTAGTGTCTACGAACTAACTCCAAAGGTCAACACAGATTCACTCCAGAGGTGTTTACGGTCTCGTCTAGTGTACACATTCAGCACTGTTTACGGATT